TTTTTTTTTTTTTTTTTTTTTGTATATTAGGAGATTATTGCAACATATACTAGATAAATATTAAATATAAACTCAATATATAGTGCTCTTTAAAAGACATGAAAATTTATATTGACTTTTAAACTCAACATAATCATGTCCTTTGTTTTAGGAAGAAGGTGAAATTTAAACTCAATATGATGTCCTTTGTTTTATACTAAATATAAACTCAAAATATATATATCAGAGATTATGTTACATATTCCTAAAACGTACATATATTGAACATATACTGCATATATACTCTACATATACTAAAAACATATAATAAAATAGAGAATCGTGGCAAAAACTTCACAACATCTTAAGAAAACAATTAACTTAAACAAGATTTGAAAACCCAACAAAATGCACACCCTATCAACCGGCAAGAATCAAATTAGAGAATCGCGAACATAAGAAATGAAACCATATATATATCCAACAATCAACGCCAATTCATTACATATTTGTTTTTTAATAATTGTAGAAAGATTATCAAGGTTGACAATGTGGTTCTTCCGGCGACAGAGCTTGAATTGCAAAAAAAAAGAAGCAAATATAATTAAACCTATTAAATATTAATGAGACAATTTTTGCTCAGAAGAACTTGTGTCGTACTCCCATCCTCATACGATTTTTGGTAAGAAGAATTGGATCGCACCTGCGATCCAATCGGGCATCAGGTTCATGTGGCACTCTTTGTGGCTGATGGAGTAGACCTCGATGAAGGCCCAATCGTCGTGGGATGGTCATGGGTGGATAGGGTTTGCAGAATTTTTTCTTAAAAATTAGATGAAGACGAAGGCAGGTCGGTGGTAGAGTACATGCCCGACGGTGGTGAATGAGTCATCGCCGGAGAAATTGAAGGCGGAGTCGGATGGGTGGTAGCCTCCGCCATGCTTGGATCGGGCCTGGAGTTGCTGCTCCCGCACGGCGATCTTCTTAGGCCGGTGAAGGCTGACGAGGAAGGAAATTTAAAAAGAAAAAATCTTGCACAAGGTTTGGAGGGCTGTCAGGAAAGAAGAAGAAGAAGAAGAAGAAGAAGAGAAGAAGAAAAAAGATGGAAAGATTAGAAGAAGAATAATTAATAAGAAATAAATTTTGTTTAATTTACAATAAAGATTGTGATCAGTTATGGAAAATGGTTGGATAATTCTCCATGATATCCGCCCTTACCTAACAACCCAAATTTAAGATTCTAGCATATTTGAAAATAAAAATAACACTTTCAGCAATTTTACTAATATTTATATGTTAGATACATTATTGCAAATAAAAGTAAATAATAAAGTGGAGAACATAATTTTCTCATTGTCTTTCTCCGGAACTATAGTGACGTAGTGATGCCAAAGACGTCACTAAACTCTCTCAAAACATCACTTTTTGAAACAATTCATATATTTTCTATTTTAAATTAACCATCCGTTCTTCCTTTTTCAATTGTTTATCTGTATTTTATCTTAAGTTTGTTACTTTGTTTTATAATTTAAACTAGCTTGCAACTTTTGGTTTTTCTGTAGTTTATCTTAAGTTTGTTACATTATTTTTAAAATTTATTAAACTAACATGCAACTTTTGGTTTTTCTCAAGTTATTATGTATTTTTTTTACTAAGTTATAGAAGACAATTTGACCAAAAAAAAAAAATTATACAAAATAAACTAAATATAATAGTTTATCTTAAGTTTATCTCGAGCTCGGGATTCAAAAAACCACAAACAACAAAAACCACAGATAAACCAACAAAAAACTACAGATAAACCACATATATATATAATATATATATGTATATATATATATATATATAAATAAGTATAACCTCAGATAAACCAACAAAAAACCACAGATAAACCAACAAATAAACACATATAAACCAACAAAAAACCCTAGATAAACCACATATAAACCAACAGATAAACCAACAAAAAATCACAGATAAATCACAGATAAACCCGAACTCAAGATCCGATCAAAATTTCAATCATGGGTAATAATTTTAGAGCCTCTTTCAAATACCAAAGGAAAATTTAACATAAATTAAAAACAAATCCCAGTAATTCATAGATCCAAAGATCAATCAATGAAATTCCTACAACAAAAGAAAAAAAAAATTGCTCAACCCTACCAAGCCACAAATTTAATCTCAAGGCTGTTACATGTTGAGCATCAAGGCGACGGGCCACACCGACAGAGGGAGGAAGGAACCCGACATAGATCTCGAATCGAAGGTGAGGTTGGCGACGATTAGGATAGTGCTAAGGATGCAAGCCTCCCGCCGGTGGTACGTGGTGAAGTCGGAGAAGCTCTTGTGACGTTGGATCCGTTGACAAACCTTCAACAAGTCGGACCTTATGACGTGCGTTGTCGACGATGGGCGTGTTTCCGTTTCATCGACTCTGCCAAAAACAAATGGGTTGGGGAGAGGAATGATATATGTAATTTTAATAGTTATAAAGGTGGAATAAAAATATTAAAAAATCCCTATCCAATGTGACTTCCTCACACTCGGCCTATATTGACGAGCACGCTAAGCACTTCTCGACAAGTTTTCCAACTCGCATTACTTCTCGGTAAGCACCTCAACCTAACCACACGCCTCCAAACGACTGTCCAAGATCCTAACCAAGTTGTCCCCTCGTCAATAGCTCCGCTAGCACCACTGCAAATCAGAGTTAATGACATTATAAAGATTTCAAGGCCTACAACAAACTACAAATAATTACTCATAGTATACCAATATGTATTCAAAGATCATCCAGATCAGAGTTAATGTCCAACCTAGAAATACATTAATTAACATAAACTATAAATATACAACTTGGTCCAACAAAAATCACAAATCATGGAGCTTTCAAAGAATCTTTATTACAATTAAATAAGAAGTACAGAAAAAAAAAA